GAATTGTAAATTTTTTCTTCCTTTGTAAAATAGCTTTGATAAGAAATGACACTTAATTTCATAAAGCTCTTTCTGAAAATCTTTTAGATCTACAATCAGGTTTTTAAACGTTCAAGTAATTAATCTCACAAGTTTTTACATACAATATGAAAAAATAATCCTTGTGGATAAGAACTGTAATATAGACAAATGAGATTGAATTTATAGCATAACAAATTGTAAGATTAAACTGCATAATCTAATTAGTTTACTACAAAATATGGGAAACATATTTTGATTAAGCTCTGAAGGGGAAATGCTTGAGAACTATAAAGAAAAATGTCCCATTAAAAGTGTACATAGCAAAATTACGAAGTTAGGCTTTGTAGATTGTGCATTGAACTGTAAACTACAATACATATTGTTCTGTTTATATAAAATGCAAAGGCATTCACTAATTTTACTATTTTCAGGAAATATGGGAAGAATGTCTAAGCAAACATCATGAACCAATCTTCAGAAACAGCAACATACAGATTGACTATTCTGGGTTTGGACTTAAATTCAATCAAATATCCCCTGAGGAAAGCCAGAGTGTAAATTGTTTAAAATGTGAATGTGACAATAATAATGAAGACAACAGTTTGAACAATATAAATAGTGTACATTATTTACATTATTCGGACTATTGTCATCATCTTTGTCACCATATTTATTACAACATTTTGGCTGTTGTATGCTCCAGCCTTCTTCAGGTGGTTGGAATGTCAAACTGAACCCTTTATTTCACTCACTGGGGTAGACTGTTCTAGTTCCATGTGCCATGTATAATGGATGTCAGTTATCAGTTATCTCCTGTTAATTTCCTTCTGAAAGTTCTCCACTGTCTTAACCAGGTATTGAACTCACACTCTTTGGGTCCTTTCACTGGATCTAACTAACACCTTTATCTACTGTGCCATGTGTCTTCAAGAACACATGGCACAGTGGATAAAAGGTCTTAATATAAATGATATACATAATACCTCATCTCAGAAATATAGACAGATATTAAATAGTGTAAATGCATTCACTAATATATAAAACTTTTGACGTGAAGATTTCCAATATATATATATATATATATATATATATATATATATATATATATATATATATATTATGAAATGGACAAAGTCCGACAATTATTTTAAGACATTTTATGTTTAACATTCATAGTAGATACAAATATTTAAATAAATGCTCTGTTTATAATAAACAGTATTAAATAACATTTACCAGCATGAATGTCCGAGAAAATTTTCATAGAAAATATTTGTCCTCTGAATAAAATTTCTCAGACATTCAGGCCAGTAAATGTTATTTAATACTGTTTATTATAAACAGAGCATTTACTTAAATATTTGTATCTATAAAAAACATCTAAAATATAAGTAAGACAAACATCTAAAATATAAGTAAGACTGCCGAATTATCACAAAATAAACAAGTGGTATGAGCTATGAACTGAAGGCATTAAAATCAAGCATGTACAGAAATTCAACTATTTGAGAAAAAATAAAAAATCCTAAGGTGTACTGAAATAGTAAAAGATGTTTTCCAAAAGCTAAAGTATTAAGAAACAGGAAAATTTTGTTAGAAACAAAAAAAAATGAGTCCTGAACTGCTATGTAATATCAAATCCTCCTACAGAGCAATGCAATGAATGCTGAACAATTTCCTCATAGATGAAGAGGAAACATGAGTCAACAGAGATTGGTTCTACTGAAAGATGTTGAGAATATCATGGATGAATAATATGAAGAACAAGGAACTTTAGAGGAAAATGTAAACAAAACAAACACATAATTTGTTTTTTGAATTTTTTACAGTTACGTTCTCTGTATAAGGTCAAGAGCCACTCGAGGAAAAGGGTTACAGAGTAAGAGGCACAGTTTATGGAGAAGATAACAGTTGGTCATAGAACAGGTTAACATAGTAGTGATCAGGGAAGCATCCTCTTGGGAGTTGGTTTACAAAGCAACATTTCATGGGAAGAAGTTGCTCAAGTAAAACTTACATCTCACCAATAGAATATGAAGGGAATGAAGGTGGTTCACTACAATGTATGTGACAAGTTTTAGCCATGAAGGTTAGAATTGGTGGAACTAAAGAATATAGTTCTTCTGAACACTTTCCATGAAAATTGCAATAAAGCAGTGAAAGGCTTGCAGCATTTCCTATGGGAAAGGATTCATAGGGTGGAAAATAATTCATCACCCATGAGGACATGGAAAGGCTTTTGAACTATCTAGCCTGGAAAGTGAATAAAGGTTAGATCCTGCCCAAATATGGCAACATTAATCTAGTTTTGGTTTGATCTGGCTCTTAGAGGAAAGCAGGTGGATTCAGGTACTTACTGAAGCAGTGCAGTGAGCCTAGCATTTTTCTAGTATCTTTGGTAATGGATCATATGCATGAGTTCCAGTTGAGGTTTGGATTGATCTTAAGTTGCAATAGGTGCTCAAGACACAAGACCTTGCACATTAAAATATGTGGAAATTCAATTTGATGATGATGGAATGACACTAGTTTGGTTTTTGAGGCATTAATTGAAACCAGCCAGTTTTTCTCTCGCTGATCTGTTAGGTCAGAGGAGAGATCAGCTTCCAAGCTCTGGTTGCCTAGACTTTTGGAGGTGCACACCATTGTACCATGACCATAGTTATTCATAAACTCATACTTAGAATCAGAAAGAGAGAGTTGAAATTTGTATGACATATAATTAGGAAAGAGGGCTTTGAGAATTTGATACACACATAAAACATTGAAAACGGGAGGGACAGAGCAAAATGCCTAATAAATCTACCTAACAAGTTTGTTTAAACTGATGTCAGATCAGGTAGTAGAAATGACAGGAAAAAAGTAAATATTGTTTAGAGCAGCGAAAGACAGAAAATTTTAGAGAGTCATTATCACTTACATCCTGATGGGATATGGTGTAAAAAAACTGTTATGATTGCAAAATATTACATAACAAGAATTGGATGCATCATTAAAAATAATGAAGATATTATTTTACATAGTTTTCTGGATATCATTCAATTAAATAAAGATACATATTTGCACTAAAAGTTTAATTTTGTACATCTGTATATCTACTAGTAGCCAAAACAATGGCATTGTCATCAGAGGTAATCATAATATTTTCTAATATAAACTTATGTTAGTAAAATCTGATAATTATATGTGACTAAACTTTCCATATTTAAAATAAGTGCTTTTTTAACGTTGAACATTAAATTACTGCCATCCATGGATGGTTGTGTTCTGCTAATTTACCCATAGGTGGAAGGAGAAGAAGAGGATTCATAACTTTCCCAAGGGTATTAACACGTAAGTGAATGTAATGGATTTGATTGGAATTCAAACTCGACTCTCCGATTCCTCAATCCAAGCTGTTATCCATTACTCCATTGTACCTCCTTCTATAGCTTTGGATGGCAACTGGTTTACCATAGAGAAAAATTGCAACCTCCTGTGGGAAAAATCTGCCTCATCAGACATGTATTGAAGGATACATGATCGCTTATGCGTGTATCATGCATGGCACATAATGACTCACTTCATTGAATGTTCAATCTCCTCCTTGTGAGAATGTAAGAGACTCATATTTACCACTACTCAAAGTTCAATCACCCATATACCTCCCACCATCTAGCCATTCCTTGTGCGCTTCATAATTCTTTGAAGCCTGTTTTTACATTCCATGGCTCTGAGGTCCCCCCCAGGAGATAGATCATGGCTCTCCACAAGTCTCTGACATTTGTAGTTCTTAGTAAGGTTTGTCTTTTTGCTGTCTTTTCTAATCCTTGTTCTGCCAACTGTTTACAATTGTATTTTTTTTTAAATTGCTTATAACATTAACTAAGATGAAACTTAAATATATATACACAAAGTCTTTTGTCGGGCTCACTAATTTATTGCAAATAAGGTAGTGGTTAGCAATTCTGTAGGATGAAAAATAAGTAATATCAAAAGGAAGAGGACACTTGATGAGTAAATAAACTTGATGAGGTGATGTCTCAATAAAATCACTGTGGAGAAGGCAACAGAAAACCAAGGTTATTTATGGCTATTGATAATTATATCTACCAAGCCTCTTGACCTAGAATACCAATTAAAGGTTTATCATGAGCTAAAGCTAAAATAATTAGTAGCCTAAGTGAGCACATATTCTCTTAAAATGTTTTTTATTCATTTTATTTATACAAGTATACTGAAAACTAATTTTTATCTGTGGTCCTTTTTTCTTGATTTCTGCAAAAAAAAGTGACTCATCTTAAAATTTCTAATTTTTTATATTTTAACTAGACTTACTTTCATTTTGATGTCTTGCATGTAGTTTATAAAAATTAACCCAGATTTCTTCTGATTTTTAAACCAGGTGTTCATGAAACTGCATTTTTTAAAATAAATATTTATTTAAAAAATTCTGTTATTTCATGATATTATTGAAAATTATGTATATATATATATATATATATATATATATATATATATATATATATATATATATATATATACATGTCATCGCTATGTAAAGTCCAAGAGCAAAATAACTTCACAAAATAAATTTATTCATATTTCAAATAATAGCTTATGAGAGGCACTGAAAAGTTGTCAGACCTGTGCATTCCTATAATCTGACTGAATATGAGATACATTTTTGGCCAACTTGAGACATTTTTAGCCCATTTTCATAAAACCCAACAGTATGCCTGATATTATCTATATGAATTTGATACTTTGATTTTATTCTAGCCCTTCTTCCAACTATTACTATTTCCTGAAACTCTAGACAATAATAATAATAGTAATAATAATAATAATAATAATATTAATAATATTAATAAAGAGTCTCTCATAAGACAAACAGAAATAATTATTAATTAGATAAGATGACTTTGATCTTTTCTTACAATGACAAGATTAAATGACATTAGTTAATCTGTGTGCAATTTTATAAAACAGTTTGTGACTCACAACAGAGCCCATATGAGAATCATAATCTGAAGGAAGAGGTTAGACTTTTGAGACAAGTGAGAAGGCACAGGCATTTCACTTAGCATAATAAATGGAGATGTCTGTCCATTAATGTACGTTTGGAAAAGGTAAAGGAAGTAGCCTTCAGAGAAGGTGATATTCATGGTGGTGATGGTGGTGGTGCTTAGTGAGACAGGGAGCAGGGTAGTGCAGCCAGGGGTTATAGATGACAAGGACATGGAATGCATAAAACCTGGAAGATAGATGGGAATGAGGGCAGTCCGAGCAAACTGCAGCTGTTGATGACATTAATGTACTTTGAATGATACAATACTCTATACTTACTTTATGCTTACATAATTAATATATTACCTCGACTGTAATGCATGAAATCATGGCAGCCTTGCATGCTGGAATGGGAAGATGTGACAGATATAGGTACTCCCTAGAAGACTTCCTGTCAGAAAGCTGCTAGCAGATGAAGCCATGACACTGGCCATTAGATTTCAAGTGAAAGGAATTGAGAAATGGAAATTATTAATTGGATGGATGGCTTAATTCTTTGCAAATGACAAATGCATCTAATGGAAAATATCAGAAGATTTAACTTTTGCTATCGAGATGTTGGGATGATCAGAATTTTCTTTTGATTCAAAAGCATGAAGATTAAAAGCAATTCAATCTCTGATTACATTGAAGGAAATATTAATGCAATAAATGTAATATGCCTTCAAGTAAAATAAGATATCATTTTTAATGTTCCGATTCAAAAATGGGATTTATTTTGCACATTTGCTACAGAAATTTACTGTTCTCGTTTACAAATTTTATTGCATTTCAGATTTAATGATTGTTAATCTATTCTTCCTTCTTTTTTTTATGTTCAGTCAGTTCTTTATATTCAATGGATTTCCTATTAACTCAAACAAAGCAGCACCAATTATTGGTTATGAAAAGCTTTTACATTCTTACAGAAGAAATATTTTTTAAATTTTTCTTGATGACTTTTATAATTCTAGATTTATTTTTCTCAACATCAGCAAACATAAAATTCTAATTTGAACTTATATGTTAAAATAAACAAAATAAAAACAACAAGGACATATGTTCAAACAACTGATGGTACTTAAAATATGGACGGTTTCTGAGATGTAATTATCTTGCCTTTTAAATATTTATTTTTGTTCGAATCATAGGTATTCATTTTTTATGAATACCTGCCAATCAGAATGGACATAATAATGAAAATTAGTTCATTTCTGTCTTACTTTTTGAAAATTTTCTGTTAATTTTTTTTTTTCAGGAAAAATATAAAGGAAACTAAATATAACATTTTAAACAGAAGCTAGAAAACACTTTTACTGATTCTCTGAAAAATATTTCAAAGAAAAAAAAATTTGGTTCATAAACATGAAATCCTATCTGAAAATATATTCTTAAATGACTAATATTCATGCATAAGCAAAAGTTTAAAAATCAAGTACAATTTATAGTTTCTTCAAATGTGAACCAAGTTTGATTTTGAGATTAATCATTATCAGCAACATACTATAAAAATGCCAATGACTAAATTTATTTCCAAAAGTTAGGAAATTTCCCACCCAAATCCACTTTAACCTGCTTATGAAGAAGAATATTCCAGAAGCAAATAGGATATTCTGAAGAAACTAAGGCTTCATAATAAAAGGCATAGATAAAAGCTAATATTGAAAAATTCTTTTGAGAGAAAAAATGCATCTCTTTGTAAAGAAGCCTATAAGGTAAATATGAAAAGTAACATCATTAATAACATAGGTATGAGAAGAATTATATTAATAATATTTACTTTAAAAAATGAAGGATCAATGAATCACATTCAAAGCATACTATTAGATGATAAGGTTATCAGATAGCAAGGGCAGATAATCAGTTTATCAGCAATAGCCTTCAGAAATTAGGAAAGAAATATTTTTAAAACCATTGCAGATTTTAAAAATAATATATGGTAAAAATATACTGCAATGTAAGTATGAAAAGAAATTTGCATTTCAGAAAAAAAATTAGAAAATGTTGCTTATAAGTTAGAAAATTAAAACTATTTTAGAAAACAAGAACTTTTCTTTAATTTATTTCCATTTTCAAGACATTGGCAAATCCTTATCTCAGAAATTATTCAATATTTTTTTTCTTTATAGCCCAGTGACATTAAATAGACGGTTTTGGAAACAGTATTTTATAGTTTGATTATTTATGGGAGATTATTCTTTTTGTTTTTTAATCCTATTTATAAGTGTCATTAATATTTTTTTCTCTTTTGCAGATGTAAGTGAAACAGTTCTCAAATATTTTTTGAAATAATATAACTTTATAAGGCTACACTGTGCTTTTAACATAATGCCCAAAATGCCAAACTCTTGAATAGATGAAATCTATAGGTTGCCATCTCTGTGATATTGAGGTTTCACTGATAATCAGCTCAGTGTTATTGTAAGCAGTTATCATTGTCTATTGCATGACAGAAGCAATTCTCTGGCTAAAGAACTTGAAATCTTTTAGGAATTAAGCACATTATTTTTATACTATATACAACAAGTATTGTGACAAGTATTATTGTTTGTTCATGTGCTTGAGAAAATAAATGGTGTAACATCTGAAACATAAGATATTACAATAAGAATATCAGTAATTCATTAAATAATACAAGCATTGCTGAATAGAGCAAATGAAACTAATATGTTGATCTTATCTTGGTTGTGTAGCATATAATGTCAAGAAGTTCTATATTGGTAAAACTATTATTTGCCATTTCCTTATAAGGAAACATTGGGCATTAATTAACCCAGAAGCATAATGACACTACAATGCTGATCAGATCTTAATTAATTTATCTAAATATAATATAAAAAGTTTGTTCATCCATCCATCACACCCTCTAAAATGGCCATACATTGACTGATTGAAACCAAATTTTGGAGAGATGTGCAAACAGGTAAGGGGCCATAGCTTAGTATAATAAATATTCATTAATCTTTTTCAAAAAAATTTAAAGTTTTATTAGTTAACATACAAAATACACCTACTATTTTAAAAGCAATTCAATGATTAAAATAACAAATACTTATTTAATAAAAATACAATATTGTTTTTGGCATAAATTTTCTTTTAGATTTTATATATACAAGAATCTAGATTCCTGTTCACCCTGCATTTGTGAGAATTATAAACAAATCACAAGGCCAAACACATCAGAAAGTTGGTATTTTGCTCCAGAAAGAAATATTTATGCACAGCCAGTTGTATATTGCATACTCAAGAGTAAGAAATCCTAAGAATTTATTTTTTGCTGTTAAAAACAAAAAAAAACATTTTTTTACAAAACATTGTTTACCATGAAGACTGGAATAGACAGATACAAACAGACTGCAATAGATAGATAGATAGATAGATAGATAGATAGATAGATAGATAGATAGATAGATAGATATGAACAGACTGTGATAGATAGATATGAACAGATTGCAATAGCTATATAAATATCACCAGACTGCAATAGATAGACAGATATGAACAGACTGAAATTGATAGATAGATATGATCAGATTGCAATAGATATATTGATAAATAGATATATAGATATGAAGAGATTGCAATAGATATATAGATATCACCAGACTGTGATAGATATGAGCAGACTGGGATAGATAGATAGATAGATAGATAGATAGATAGATAGATAGATAGATTACTTAAAAACATTTTTCTCTCCTGGTAAAATTTGAACCTCTTTATATATTTTTTTTACCACACTGATCACCTAAAGTAGATTCCAGTAAGATGCTAGGTTTTCTTGAAGTTGGCAACTGGCCCATGTGTGAGAGTAAAGACTCTTTACACTGATTTCTCATTAACTGAACTCACTCTTGGTCATCCCCTGGGTAATTCTTTTCTCAAGGAATAAGAAAAAAACAATTTCACAATGAGCAGAAGGGTTTGGACATTGATTTACTACAAGAAAGGATAATGTGCGAAATAAAAATTGCACATAAAAGGAAATAATATCTTTTATTGATGTTTCTCTTCTTTTTTCTTTACAACAGTTGAGAAAAATTATTGTTTAATATTAGTTTCTGACACCTAGAACTCACTGTAGCCAAAATGTAACTTCAAGTTCATTGCTGATAGGATATTTCATCGACTTTTAGATGATGATAATTGACAGTATTAAAACTGAACTTGTCACGTCGGATAAATTTACTTTTGATTTGACCTGGAAACTAACTGCATGTGATTTATCTATCTCAGTTTCTTTTTGAAAAAGCATTACAGAGTCTCAGATGAAATCTTGAAATAATGCTGACCTATGGGTGAATATCTAGGCTATGAATATACGGCATCATTGTAAATTATGTGAGCCGATATTGTAATGGTTACTGACTCAGAAGGAGAAGTTGGCAAGCCGAGTTCAAATTCTGGCCAAGTGTGTCACATTAACTTTCGCACAAATACCCTTGAGCAAAGTATATGAATCCATTTCTTATACCACCCCAGCAATGGGTTAAATTGTATGGTTACAAGCTCAAGAAGGGAAATTGTCAAGTTGAGTTCAAATTCTAGCCAAGCAAACTGCATTCATTTTCACACAAATTTCCCTTGCAAAAATTATGAATCTATTTCTTACCCACAAGTTATAGATTAAATTGTATGGTTACTGACTCAGAAAAAGAAACAATCAAGTTGAGTTCAAATTCTAGCCAAGCAAACTGCATTCATTTTCACGCAAATTTCCCTTGCAAAAATTATGAATCCATTTTTTATCCCCACCTCCCTTCTCCACAGCCCCCAGCTATAGGCTACATTGTACGGTTAAGTGATTCGGAAAGTATGAATTGATGTCTTATCCCACCCCAGCTAGAGGCTAAATTTTAACAGTTACTGACTCAGAAAAAGAAATTGTTGAGCTGAGTTCAACTTCTGACCAATACCATGATATTTCCTTTCACACAAATTCCCTCTGATGAAAACTCTGAATTCTAAACCAGCCTGAAGAAGGATGGGCTAAATATACCATGGCTACTAAATATACCATGCTAAATATACCATGGCTACTAAGTCTGCAATGCATGTGATACCACATGTGAGAAATTAATGTGAATAAATCTACAATACCATTTTTAATTAGATATCCACCAAATGCAGATCTTTGATCTTAAGGCACTAAATCAATTTTCAGGCTCAATGTTTTAACTTTTAACTTTAACAAAGGAGTCACAAACACCTGTTTCCTTTTTAGAATGCTTGATAATAATGGATTTCTTAGTTTGAAGATTGGCTGTAATGATGCGTAAAACTTGTTTTGGTGTACACTCAAATTAGATTGTTAAAAATCACAATGCACTAGGTAAACCACAACAAACCTAATCAACCAGAAAATATAGATGCATTTTATAAATACAGTGTGTGCTGGAGGGGGAAAATATTTCTCTCCTATTTTACCTATTTTCTTTGGTACATTCAAGTTATGAAAGGCAAATCAGAATTTAGAACACCTTTATTGTAGCTTATTTAAAAAATATTCTTGATTTTGATGTAACAAGTGTTGTAAAGTAAATAAATCAATGACCATGCAAGATCAAAAAAAGCAACCATTTAGTTAAAGTTCAAGTTTACTAAAGCACAGAAGCAAAACTCATTAGTACTACCTTCAAAAGTAGCTGATTTTCAATTGTTTTAATTTTAAAACAATTAGGTTGGAAAGAAAACACTGTCATTTAAAGATGGAAAAGAATCAAATGCTTCATTGGTCTTAAATGATATATTTAATCAAGATAATATTTTTTCTCATTATCATTAATATAATCCCATCTATCTGGCAAAATGTTTATCCTTCAGGGATATCATACTCTGCTTCAAATTAGATCTCTTTCTGATTCACTCTGCATGTTGGCTGGATAGGAAAGAAAAACTAAAAATAAAAAAGCCATCTTTAATACAGGGGCTCCAAGAATCACATCCAGCTCATAAAACAAATCCCTCAAAAAAAACAAAAATACAATTTAAGAGGAGCTAATCACAAATATTGCTGCTAGGACAAAATCTTGAAAAAAAAAATGAGTCATGATCCCCCTTATCTGTTTTTAAGAATGCCGCTCACAACATTTTAAGTAAAATTGCAATGTCACCTCCAGTGACCTCAATTAACCAACCTGACATATGGATCAATTCTAGGCCCTACCATCTATCTACTTCTTTGAAGTAGCTTCGCTTTACCAACAAAGGGAGATCCCAGTCATATCCTCTGTATCAGCAATACAATTTTATCTTTACAATTCTTGTCTTCTTTTCCTTTCACCTCACCAGCAGTACTTGTTTCATTTGTTCTCTCATACTAAAATATGCACATTTATTGCTGGCATAAAATTCTTCAGGTTTCAATTCAAAGAACTCATTATCAGTTTTAACCTATTCACCATTATTAAACATTTTTCTGTCTAAAAATGCTTCAGTGATCTGAAAAGTTGACAGCCAGAGGTAGCAAAGTCAGGAAGTTAAGTAAGAGGTAGCAAAACTTCCGTATTTTATGCCATGATCGTTTCTAGACAATATGAGGTCTTGCATTATCATGTAAGAACAATATGCCCTCATGATTAACCAACGATTGGCACTTTTTCAGAAAATATTTACAAAATGTTTCCACCAGATATCAATATATTTAGGCATTAATTTTTTTTTAATTTTAGTTTAGCACTTCATAATAGACAACACACTTCATATTCTGCTAAACACAAAGCATAACTTTTTCAAATGTAGTCCAGCTTTAGGAATGGATCCTCCTTTTTCAGTGAGTGCTAACTATTGTCATTTTTGTTTAATAAAGTTACAAGGAAACCGTTTTTCTCACTGGTAATAATTCAGTAAAAAGTTTACTCTCTAATGACAAGCTGAGGGTATCATCTCTTTGATTAAACTAAGACCATGATAATGGACCCATTGACTAAGTTTACACATTTTTCTGAGTTCATGAAGGAATTTTATGATCAAAATGTAACTTGTATTCAACAGTTTTGCTAATTCCCATGCAGTCTACTGAGAATTTTCCTCAACTATGCTTTGCAGAAACTCAATATGATCAGAACATTGTTGTCCAGATTGCAAGAAATCTTCAAGAGAAGAAAAGTCCCCTTTCAAAACTAGTCAAACCATTATTGGCATGTCTGGATGCTTAAAGCATCATTTACATAAACAGAACAAGTATTTCTTGACACTTCCATTGCTGAAGAGCTTTTTTTGAATTCATACAGTGTCTGATATGGATCTGACTGAAAATTATTTTAAAATGGTAAAAATCAATGCAAAATTTACTCACTAAATAATCTACAAAGAAAGCAAAAAACATTAGGATGTAAAGATGAATGATTATTTTACCGTAAGTGTTGAAAAAGTATCCTCAAATTGATCATGTCAAAAATGTTTCAAGACCTTTTCTCAAATTAATAAATATATTTAAGAGGTTATATTACATTCAAATGGAACTTTGTATCAGACAAGTGAAAATAGCTATAATGAATTGCATGGTTATTGCATCAATTGTTATAAGAGATAAAAAAGTTGGATGATTTCAAAAAAACATTAACTTTATATTAGAATAAGACTTCAACTATTACTTTAGATAATTGTTATTATGATACCACATTGAACGCCATAGTTGTAATACATATCAGTGAGCATATAATGCAAAATTTTTACAAATAAAGTAGATGATTGTACACTGAGATGTAAACCTAATCTAGTTTCTAAAAAATACTTCTTTCATGATATTTGCTTTTTGTATGCAGTTGCCAATGTAGTAATTACTTTAAAACTGCAGGGTTTCTGATGTCCTACTGTTAATGATGATGTTGCTATAAGCTTGAGCAAGCAGTGTAGCTATACTTGTCTTCTCTCCAGAACCAATTTTTATTTGCCTTTCAGTGACAATTACAACAGTAATTTTTCTCTGTCTTCAACAAGGTTTTTCTATTGAGTTTCCCTTTTATTTGTGGTCATATAAATGTTTATATGGGCAGGAGGTTCATGGCCCATTACCTTTTCTAAAACTAGCAGAAAATGTTATTATTTCTGAGATTTGAAACTACACGATCAGATTCAATTACAAAAACTTTTCTCCAGCACATGGTTTAACTTACTCTTTATGGATATGGGAGTAAATATATACATAGTATTCCAACTTTTTATGAAAGTCACATTAAAAAAAATATATATTTTCGTATTGTGTGCATGTATTTAAATTTAACAGCTAAAAGTTTGGTAATGCTGACATGCGAAGTCATGTCCAACAACATGCAGTTCTGAACAACAGTAAATAAATGGCAGCCATTTTGATAAAATAGCTTCATTGCCACCATTAAAATTCTTATGCAACCTAAACTGTAAAACATGTTTCAGCAATGATAAGAAGGCAAAACTTGTTCAAATGTCTCATGATTATTGAAAACATTCGAAATTGCTAGATTCCTTACAACAGAGCATTACATTAGCAAAATATTTATTACAAATCTGGTGGTATACAGTACATGGCTGAACAAACAAAAGATGATAAGGCTATTTAACATATAGTTGGAGGTTTTGTATTTAGAGTTGTCCTTTTTTCTTAGACTGGTGCCATAAAATCTGCCCTATTTTACCTATAGCTGGGGGGTAAGAGATGGAGTCATAACTTTCCCAATTGTTGTGTTTAGGAAAAATAATAAATATATAATAAATATATAATAAATATATAATAAAATTTAAAAATAAATATCAATGCGATTTGAACATAAGAAGTATGTTAAACTAAAATATAAATATGGCGATCTGATATCAGAAAATAAAATGAAAGTTATATTGTGAAAAATAAAACATGTATATGCAAAGAAAATAGTGAATACTTATAACTAAAAAGATAGTTTATGATAATACTATTAAGACACATAGTGGAAAATATGAAAATGAATTAAAAGAATGTTGGAGACTCGGCTGTATAAAAAATATATTTTCTACTGAAGTGAGATGTTGAGGTTTTATTGCCAATAAGACCCAAATATTTAGATTGCTTATATCACAAGAGGAAATTTATAAAGAGATGTCAACATCAGAGAGAGGCTACATCTGCATGGATATGGTATTCCTACATTATGATACAAAAACAACAAAGATTAAATATTGTTGCTGTGTTCTTGTTTCATAGTGATGATGTTTCTGTCTCAAAACCATATCTAATCCTACAGTCATAATCTGATGAAAGCTTTGTTGGAAAACCTGATGAAATATATATATATATATATATATATATATATATATATATATATAATTCTCAATGCATATGAATTAACCCAGATCATTGATGAACCCACCCATCCCGGATGCAACAAGACAGCAGGTGAACCTATTCAACCTTTTTCTAACCTCCTGCTCTGACAAATGCTCAGCAAAAACTCTAGCCCCCATTGGCATGACAGATCATTCCTTAGTCAGTGTTCAGACTGACTCCAAACCAATGGTATCCCCTGATTCACATTTCAATAGAATGTTTTTTTCTGCAATTCAGAGGCAGTGTGGGAGAGTTTTCAGTCCTATATGACAGAAAATACTCTCCCAACCTTCTTCAAACATGTTGCCTCCAAAACTGCTGCCCTAATCTCCAAATGAATCCTTTTTGGATTGGAGTGTTTTATACCCCACCAAAAATTCCAGAAAAAAAAACAGTCAGCCCTGGTTCACCCCTTAATTTGCTGCAGTCATAGCTCATCAGAAATGCTACTTCAAAATCTATCACAAGGAGCTGTGTAGTCTGGACCTTAATTCTTACAGAAGTACCCACAATTGTTGTAAAAGAGTCCTAGAAAACAGTAATCTGTTCAAGCCAAGGTTGAAAATAACAAATTGAATAATTTTATATTTAAATATATTCTGTAAATGAGGGAAACAACCCAACATATAGTAAAATAAATTTTAAAAAGTCCTTAACAAAAACTTTTGTTGATCTTCAAACAAAGTTATATAAATGTATTAACATAATGGATAAATATTGTTCATACATACTTTATTTTGCAACATTACTGTATTTACTGCAATCCATGTTGAAACATTAGTTCCTGTATGATCATTGAAGTTAAGCAATATTAAGCCTGGTCAGTACCTAGATGGGTGACCGCTTGGAAATACCAGGTGCTGTAAGCTTGGATGTGTGGGTGGTGTAATGTATAATGGCTCAGAATTGTTAACTAGAAATCAAATTTCCAATTCTAGTTGCGTTTGTTATATTCACTTACATGAAAATACCCTTGGGATAGGTATGAAGCCATCACTTCTTACCTGAGATATGGGTTAATTAGTTCAACTTGTACCACTAAACTATTATTATCTCCCAAATCAAAAAAATTCTTACAATCTAAAAATATTTTCTGGCTTTAAATAACCTACAAAGGGTTGATAAGCCATCAAATATGAATCAGTCAATCATGTAATCCAGCTCTGTAACTTGTATGCAGTGGTGGACTGGGTTGAAAATTTCTAGCGGGATAACTTGTAAAAGAGTCTAGTCAAAAGGACCCACTGAATCCCAAAATGTAAAACTAAGGATATCTATTATCTACTGAAAGTAATTATAGCATCCAAGAAGCCTTATTTAAATCTTCCCAGCATCTACACAATGAGGACCATCACTTTGGGGCCCACCAGGAAACTTCCTGCTATCCTGGTAGCCCAGTCTGCCATTGTCTTTATGTAAGTAAAGGTAAAACATCTTCAGTCTGTGGCAAGTTTTTAATTTCAATCTATTATTTGATCCTATATTTTTTATAAATGGTAACATTTTAACAAGCAATTATTTTTTATCACTATTTAAATAATCATTTTATTAATACTGAGAAAAATAATTACTTAAACAAGGTTTAGAAACCTTAAGAAATTAGCAAACATTAATTTCACTGTTTGTAAATAAACCTGGATGTCTACAGAAACATGTGTACCAACTAAAATAATCTTAACAAGAAATATTATCAGAATTAAAAATCCATTAATTGTTTAAATTACTGCTTCTTTTCATTTCCTGTGTTTCAGATTGGAGGCTGTGATCTTAACTTTCTTGAAATGTTTTACACTGAAATAAGATTTTAAGTCTTAGGAGATAACCCAGGGCCAATCTATCATCCAAAAAGTCAAATAACAAAGAAGACAACTGGGCAGATCCAACAGCCTGATAATACAAACCTTGAGATTTACAAATCTGGGTTTTTCAATGTTAGTTTCTATGATAGTTTGCTTTGTTCTGTGATTTTATATCAATTTTGTTTGTGTTCTATGTGAGGGCTTGTGAAAAAGGCTCCAGCTTCTTGGCACTGAAACTCCAAATGAGACTCCATCTCCAAAGGGTTAATATTTGACATGTGCATAGACTCTCCCAGCTATAAATAGGAGCAGGTATTGCCTTTTGGAGAGAGAAGTTTCCAGCAGTCAGCTCTGACAGTCGGACTGAACATTCTTGCTCTAACACTCTCATTTGTATGTTTCTATTGCTGTTTATGTTAATATATTTGTTTAACTTAATTCCTCTTTTGTGTTTTTATGTCTGGCCCTAACAAGGCCACAACAATTAGAAACAAAGAAAATCATACTTAACTTTTATATAATATTAATCCTTCTATATGGCAGTTAACATTAGTCAATCTGCTCATAAATGAAGAAGAGTCTTGAGGTAATAGAAATGTGGTTCTACAGAAGGATGCCGGGAATGCATGGATAGAATATGAAAGTAAGAAAAATGGAAACAAAAAGGCATGCTTATGCATAAAATCTGAAAGAAAATAGTTGAAATTTCTAAGAAACATGAGGAAAGAGGGATTGGAGAATTCAATACTCAGAGGATATACTGAAGGCATAACTGAGAGAGAGAAACAGCAAGTAATCTACCTTGACAAGCTTTTGTATATGGATGGCAGAACAGGGACTGGGATGGTAAAAAGACAAACATTAGCTGGAGCTACAAAAGATAGAAAGTTATGGAAAACCATAATTGCCAACATCCTAAAAGGACATGGTACATAAATCAAGTAGAAGTTATAATTAGATCAGACTGTAGATTAATTATGATATAAAACCATTATTTACACTATTTACAATGTCCAGACAGTTGGCTCCATCTTCGTTGCCATATTCACAACGTTTCGGTTATTGTACACTCCGGCCTTCTTTAGGTAATTGGAATTTCTAACTGAACCCTTTATATATCCACCAGAGTAAATTGGTCTACTTCCACATGCCAAGCCTCTTTTAGATGTGTCAGTATTAGTTATATCCCTTTAACTCAACTCTCCACGATTTGTTCAACTCGGCTGTAGCCAGGTATTGAACTCACAACTCTTTGTGTCAAGTCACTGGATCCAGTCATTACTTTTTAAAAATTATAACATTACAGAATAAAAGATGTGCTGATAGTGTAGGTTAGGGTATACTAATGAAAATTCAATACTGAATCTATTATATGTTACTGTTTATTTCATTCTGGACTTCACTGTCAGACAGTGGATGTGTAGATTTATAGCCTTCTTTGAATATTCTTACATATGTATGAAACTTTTTTCTCTGGGTTGTGTATTTGTCTATCTACTTGTCATATTTTTCCTACTTATGAACATTCTAGACACATCTGGGTTAACTACATGTTTACCCCTCATGGTCAATCACTGACATCCTGTGAGGTGCAGATCTGCACTTGGTGGCTAAGAGCTCATCTCTTAGGTTAATGTGTTGATGTTCCTCGTTTCTTGGATCTCACACTGAGTGCAAAATCTATTCTAGCATCATTACATGATACTATTTCTAAAAGATCACAAGGACACTTTCATTTACTGAGCAGTCAGTACTGTTTTTGGTTGAAATTTATAAAATCTTTCTCTTAAAAAAATTTATTCAGGAAAAAAGGTTTTTCACGTAGATTAGCTGTTATTTCTCTTTCCATGATTGATGGGGATGGGGTTCCTTCTTAACCTTTTATTTGATTTAGTGTGGAACATTAACATCTTGATTATATCATTATCTTCTCTTCAAGTTAAATGTGCTTTGCATTTTAGCTGTTGCTGCTGTTGAAAGTCCTCAAATGATGTGGTATTTGTTACATGGTACAGTTCTTTGTTTATGATTTTGAAGCACCAATCCACAATGTTCAAAGAAATATGTTTTTTCCCAAGACCCTCAGACTTCACAAACTGAAAGCCATTTTTAACCATTGATCTTAGAAAGCAGTTGTATACAGCTGACAGTTGAGATATTTCTGAATGAGTTTAATACCATACATGACATCCATGTGAAAGTCTTGATCTGATGAGGTTATTTAGTGTGATTTTTTAAAGTGTAATTTAGATGTGGCACATGGCTGAAAGTATAGGAGACCCAGTGAAGATCAAATTCACTATTCTGTCATAATTGATCTAGCAATACAAGCTTGCTAACCACTATACCATGTTGAAGTGACTTGATAAGGCTATTTAAGAACATGACATCAGTTTTCATGCCGGTGTTTTGATTACCATTATTAATATTAAGCATAATGAAATGTATATTAGACATAATGAAATGTATATATACCTATAAATAGTAACAAAAATGGCAATGAATTTAGTATATTGTGGCAATGTTTTTATTGAAATGTATTGGCCAATATTATTTGTCTCCATTTGACCTCTATACTTTTTATATTCATCAAGTTGGTCAAAATAAAAAGAAATAATTTTGATAAATTGCTTTTATGAGCCAACACATTTTAGCCCTAAATGACTATCAAATCACAAAGGGCAGAAAATGATGAAAAGCTTATATACTTTTGATGTTAGAAAACTGAGCATAATTTGACCAAACAGGCAGAAAGCAAAATTGGCCATGAGTCATCATAGACATTTTACATAGTTTGGTCGAGAGCACTCATTAGTGAAATTTTAGTAGATTCCACTACCAAGATTTAGTACTATATCAGAATTTCCAAGGCTTTGGTAACTATATTTCTCTTAAGGAATAATGAAACAGTAAAATGTCTATATCTTTAAAAAAGAAATATCAAGTTTTCCTTTGAAGTAAATTCTTTCTTATCAAAACTAAAAAGGCAGTGATTAGGAAAAATTTTTCTTGCAGTTATTTAAAAGTTATTCATCATTTATGAAAAGTAAGTATTAAATAAAAATGTAAATATCTAAAAAGTGTAAAATATGCTTTTCAAAACCTAAGCAAAGTATTAAAATCTTTTTAGAAAAAAAAAGAGTACTTAATATAATATTGCTCCTCCTATATGGCAGTGAATGCTAGACAATCTCATCATTAGAAACTGTAGCAAAAAAAGCAATGGTAGATAACCAGGTGTGCATATCATGCCATGAAGTGTGTTGCTTTCATTGCAACAAGGTTGGACACATCTTGTCTGAGTGCCAGGGGAAATAGTTCAGAGAAGGAGATATCAATGCCAGTCTCCACCCAAAGCAACGCACTATCAGTCATTGAAATGTTCATAGAAGTGCATATCCCTTATATACTCTGACTACTCACAGACACCAGTGAGTAGATCTGTATGCCACCTTTGGTGACACCAGGGGACGAAGATGTTAATGGCACAGTCAAATTGAATGTTGGTCATGCTCAACCTGTGAACATTCAAGTCTTGATTGTGGATGGAACATTGCTAGGCTTTGATCTGCTTTTGGGGTTTGATGTGATCCAGGAGCATGGGGGAATGCGCATCACTAAGCATGCTTCCCCGAGGAAGATATAAAGTGTACAACCATTTCTATCAATGAACTTGATTTTAGTGTGAAATTTGACCACCAGAAGAAGGTCTGGACTGCCTCATGGAAATGGTCCAGTGGTCAAAGAGATGAAATATCTTGTAGCAAAATGGCTTTAAAATTTTTGTTTCTTTCCTTGCAAACAATGCCAACAATCAGTTTCTTCTCAAACACTCTATTGTCCATGACACTTGTAGCCTGTTTGACACAGCAGTTAATCATTCTGCTTGTCATCTCATTTTCCCAATTTTTATGTATCATTCATTTACAGCCAAAATTTACATATGCACAAAGATAATCTTGTGAGAGAGTATCTGACTCCAGGATCTATATGTTTTAAATATGTAACCCACAAAGCCACCATTTCTTTCTTCTTTGGACAGTTTACACTTGAGGTATGTTCGAATCT